TAGTGTGTGTGTGTGTGTGTGTGTGTGTGTGTGTGTGTGTGTGTGTGTGTGTGTGTGTGTGTGTGTGTGTGTGTGTGTGTGTGTGTGTGTGTGTGTGTGTGTGTGTGTGGGTGGGTGGGTGGGTGGGGGAGGTGTGTTTATTCACAGTAATTGAATGAAAAGCATTTTTTCAACTAATCGCAAACTTGAATCATTATTGCTATTGAATTCATCTTTGTCAAGAATCAATAATTAGTATACAAATTATTTGATAATAAATATCTTTTAATTAATTAATTCTTATTCAACATATATTAAATTGTTGAATTCATATATTAAAATTGCAATTTTACAATCCGTTATAAATTTCACATTATTATGCTAATTTCAAAGTTGTTGTTATCTTTGCAAAATTAACAACACCTAGTCTTAATGAACATGCGAAGCTTATTATAAATAATCTCCAATTAGAATAGAATTAAATTGATGTGACGAGAAATCTGCAAATTAAACTTGACATATATTTTTATCTCCTTAAATTAACATATTCACAAAAACAACTCTATAAATGAGAAAAAAATATTTTTCCATAAAACATGACGAAATATAGATGTTTATTTAAATAAACAAGATTTAAATCGACATATAACAATATGTTTAAATTAATAATTACACGCCACATTACTGTCGTATATAACAAGCTTGTTATTAAAAGCTTATTGAAAAATTTAGACAGTTTTTTAGAAATAATTTAGGTGATCCAGACAGGCTTAAATCGTCTCTCAATCGTTGCGTGACGCATATGTGAACTTTAGCACGATGCAGATATCGTATGCAGGCGCCTCCGCGTGTGTGAAGTTGGCGTCCCAACATTCAAATTCCATAGTTTTGATTAGAGTCTCCCCTGTTGTAAACGGAGTGCACTAAAAATTACAGTCTGTAAAAATCATTGCGAACGATAAACGCGAACGAGAAAGGAGGAGAAAAAGTGAGACCCGCCAGAAATGTTAGTATCGAGAGCACTAAAATTCCTTATCGTTTCTCGTCGCACATCTTATTATATTCCGCGTCTTGCCACTCGTCACGGCTCGTAAAGTCGATATTATGCAAAAGCACTGCTCTTTCCCCTGCCTCGCTCTGCCGACTGCTGCAACCTAATCTACCCCCTGCTACAGGTAGAAAATTCCACTATCTCAGATATGCCGTAATCCTTAGGCCGAATTCAGGCCTAAAAAGCGCCTTGCGCCTTAAACGTGTCTATTGTCAAGATATATTGTGTCATTTTTCGATCACCACTTAAACATAATGTTTCAATCAGATTTAAAATGTTGTATTACATCTCAGTCGATATATAATTTTCCCCAGCATCTTTCTAAATTTCTTCTTTTGTCATATAATTTATCTTCCATTTCTCTGATGGAATCCGATAACGATGTTGATATTGTTGATTCGATTTGATATACTAATATATAAAGATCGCGATGGGGGCACTGTCGCCGTCTCCTCTCGCCGTAGTCTGAATCAGGCTTTAGAGACATACTCGATGTGACTTTCTCCGAGTTAGCACATAGGGAGCGCACGCACGCACCGCGAATGAGCTGCCGCGGTTTTATCGTCTTCTGCCTACTCTAAATATTTCTCTGGCATAAATTTATAACGACAACGGCGAGGCGCGTTGCCGCTAATAACGAGCGCGGCCCGGTCGATATCCTGGCATTTATACGAGCGTCACGCTCCGCACTGATCGGATACCGGACCCGTCGTGGCTCCGTCGTGGACATTATAAACGCGCGCGACGGGGCCCGTGGCGATGAATGGAAACTCGTTTCGGTCGACTCGAGTGGCTGTGGTGGATGTCGTCGTTGGCAGATCAGTGAAAGTCGACCCGATCCGGCACGCGGACCGTTTCTCGATCCACGCTGGATCGCGATCGATCGGGCGCGGTATCGTTCCGGGAACTATTACCGAATCCGATGTCGCGAGATAAAATGACGGTAATAAAGGTATAAGAATTTACAGCACTCGGGAAAGTCATTTATCCAATAACAAGTTTTAATTAATAATGATTGCGCCTTGCGCTTGTCCTGACAGTTTATTATTATTTCTCTTTTTTTTTTTTTTTTTTTTTTCTATCTTCTCGAGTATTCTCAGTAACGAATCAGTTGAAATTCATAGATTCACGACGTTTTATCGTTACAGATTACGTCGCACTTATGTCGGCTTGCGGTTACATACAAACAAACGCAAATCTCAAACTCCACTCGTAATTTCCACGCGGCTCCGTACAAGAACCTTCACGATTGTCGACCGCATTAATCGGGTAATTAAACCATTATTCATTTGTATTCCGCAGTTTTTTTTAAAAGTTTTTCCAATTTGCCGTGCCTTAACGACTCGTTAAAATTGCTTTAATAATGTCCGAGCTAATAAGTTAACTGTATACACCGTCGACAGCCGATCGGTCATGCTATGAGTGACTACTCTATCCGCTGCTGCAGTCGAGTGGCATGATCGTGTGGGAGATACAGGTTATACGCATGTTCTCTTCTCTCTTTTCTTTTTTTTTTGTTTGTTTCAACACTGCGTCAATAAGAGACAGTGATTTTAACATTACAGGTTTTACTCGTTGTCGCTTATTGACGAAAAAAATAACATGTGCTGTCACATGCATAATTTTAACTTCGTTTAAATAGACGTCTATATTCGCTACTATGTATCTTGCAGAAAAATATATTTTTCCGCAGTAGATGTATCAACAACAAAGAGAAAAATAATATGTTTGCGTTTTTCACATATCGGTTTCTTAAAAATGTAGATATAAAAATTACATTGCATTAATTAAATAAAAGAAAATAATTGTTTTTCAATAGAATCGCAATCATCGAGATTTTCTATTATTAAGTTACTCTTGGATAACTGACTTTAAATTTAATCTTTAGTTATTCGATTTTTTAAATTATTATATAATAACGGAAATTTAATTCAAAATTATGTTAAAAATCATGTAATAATATAATAAAAGTTGCTATTAATTTATAACTCGTATGCAGATCTTTACTAATAAAATAACGCATTTAATAAAAAGAAAACACAATTGAGGAAATAAAAAAATTCTTCAAAGACAAATATTACTCTTCGTTCTAACCAATTGCATTAAATTTAATCGTAATTCATGTCACGCAGGACGAAGTACTTCCGGTGGACGTCACACGCATCCTTCTTCTTCCTTGTCACAGTGCACACGTGCAGTTTTTTTCAACATGTACGCGTGTTGGTGTGAATGACGCCGACGTTCGAGGAAATTTTATATCCAAATTTATTTAGCGTAACCAAGGTTTCTCCTATACTTTTAACTCGCGTTTAGTGTTTGTAACATTAAGCAAACTTTTTCATGTCAGACATCACAATTTTCGATTTTTTTCTTTATTTTTTTTTCAAATTTTAAATCTCAAAAGTTTATTTATAAAACATTTCTATCTATAAAATTATCTATAAAATTGGCAAAGTTCCGAGTATTTGAATGAAACGGCACACACACATTATAATCTCTTTCTTCTCATTATATTATAAATTAATTTGCCATTTTCTATTGATATTTTCTCAAGAGCAGATCCTTGTCTTACAAAGAGAATATGAGATTAACCAAAATAATTTCTACTAGAAAAAAGAAGGATATCTGTATTATTGAATTTTTTTGATTTTTTTATTACATATAAATTACAAAATGTACAAAAATGACACGTTTTTTCAACGCGTTGATATTTTGTTATTTTTATATTTTTGATGACTTATTTAATTTAATTCAGATGACAGCTACATTCAGAGAATAAAATGCAATTTCTGTTTCAGATCAGACAAAGCATTCATCGTCTAATTCAATTTTTCTCGTAATAGCTTATTAATATTATTGCGTAGCCAAATTATTAATCTATATTATTAATCTTCATATAATCTTCCAAAAATGATAAAATATTATCATAAAACATAAAACAATTTTCACATAAAAAAATTATGAAAGCTTTATCGCTTATTTGAAAAAGATCATGAAATGTATTTGTTTTTAACTATTGTAGACAATCCTCTTAATATAGTTAATATTTGTTATTCAAACTTAAAAATTTACAATTTACATTGTTCCGAATAGCAACTTGCGATAAAATACTCGCTAAGAAAACATCATGAAGAAATCACTAACATATGTCGTGGTATTTTCGCGATACTTTACAGGCGGATGTTTACAAATCGGCGAAAAAAATAAATGTGAAAACGAACGGGAGAACCATGACAACCGCGTTTCGAGATTGAGGTCAATGGATATCTCGATCATACGGGGAAATTTTTCGACGTTCAATAAGTCGCGAGATAAAGATCACCTCGTTTACGAGCGCTAAACTCCACGGACAATCGTGCTTCCGCGATAGTCGTAAGTTGACAGGCAAATCATTGTGACACTCACTTTGCATAGAGCGACGCCTGTGTCCAGCCTGTCCATAAAATTATCAAGATTGATTCTGAGTTCCGGATACAGGGCGTTCAGCCACTCCGCCAGGTCCTCCTTCATCGCTATCAGATACTCCTCCGAGGACTTAAACGGTCTGTACGACCTCCCTTCCAGTAGCACCGACATGATCTTTACGATTTGAAAACTGAAAGTAAACATTAAAATATATTAAATTATTAACAAACTGCAGATGATATTAAATTATAATATGTAGATTAAGTTTATATCTAAAAATATCAAAAAATTTTTCAATGTGTTTTATATTATTTCACAATGTGTTTCCTCTTCTTTTTATCTAAATATTATGAATTAAACAAATAATGTCTTATTTTCAATTATAATTAAATTAGTATATCGCTTGCTTCAAAGTTTAAATGTCATATAATATAATTCAACAAGTTGGTTCTTATTATATAAACACACACACACACACACACACACACACACACACACACACACACACACACACACACACACACAGAGAGAGAGAGAGAGAGAGAGAGAGAGAGAGAGAGAGAGAGAGAGAGAGAGAGAGAGAGAGAGATATGTACATCAATCACATTTCCACAAGCTTCCTGATTTCATACTTTCAGTTTAGAACTCTGTAACTGACATTTTTCACTTTCGCTTGTTTAGAGCGTTCAGCGAAAACTGAAAAGATCTAGATGCGTGACAAAAAAGAATTTTCCTCACTCTTTTATTTAAACAAGAGGAGAGAAACTCCTGAAGAAACAAACTTACTTATAGTTTTAAAGTGAGAATAATGTTAAAATCATAATTTTAAAATTTCCCAAATTCTTGAAATCTTGAAATGTTATCAATTTCTTCAACTTTCTTATTGACTTTGCAATGAATGAATATTTTTCTTAAAATGTACATGCCTTTTAATTTATTTATAATTAACGTCTGATCAATTAATCTTTTTTTCGATTTTATTTCTCTTCCTTTTCTTTATTTAATATTTGACTCGGACATATTCTATATATAAATAATACAGTGTAATTTAAAAAAAAATCTGAGATTTGTATAGATATAACATATTGCATCAAATTTGTGTTGAATATGCGTTCAATTAAACTTTTACTAGATTTGTCATCTGAACTCTCGAAAAATTTCGGATCATAATCATCAATTATTATTTTTCTTTTGTTTTAATTATAATAAAAGCTACATTCGTCATGTATAGGAATTGCAACGAGCTGCTTAACGGCAAAACTCTGTTTCATTTTCTCACGCGATATTTCTACGTCCAGATATCAGTTGCATATGCAAATCCACGGACATTATTTCGCGATGCAAAAGGCAGATTATAAACATCCGACGAATAAAAAAATGTGAAGCTCTGCCAGACAATAGCCACTTCGGGTGTTGCTGTTGACAATGGCATGGTCATCCCCGCGATATTTTCTCCATACTCATCATACCACCCTATGTGTATATGTATATATATGTGTGTGTGTGTGTGTGTGTGTGTGTGTGTGTGTGTGTGTGTGTGTGTGTGTGTGTGTGTGTGTGTGTGTGTGTGTGTATCCCCAGTTGCGGCTCTCCGTATTCCTCGTACATGACAAAATCGCAGTTATATGAGACTCAGATTAAAGACCGAAAACTTAGACAAATTCTGTCTGCGAACTTTATTATTAGGGCACATACATACAATTGAATTATACATATATTAATAATATATATATTACACAAAATTGTTTTCTTTATTTTAAAAATAAAGACTTCTGAAAGTTTGTTCAATTGCTTGCAATTAATTCAAATTTTTTTTTGCAGCATTAGCTAAATTATTAGCAGCTATTATATATCCAAAGATTTTCTCAAAAAAATAAAATAAGAGCTATACATCTTACACCGTTTTTAAATAATATTGAGTGCCAAAGAATTGAACAATATTTTTTCAATATTTTTCCATTAATCTACATATCATCTATATATTTATGCCGTATTTGAATGAACAAATTCTTTACGCACGTTTATGTGTGTTCTATTCTCCATTCCTATTACATTTCCAACGGCTATATATATATAAATCAACAGCATAGTACGCAAATCGTCGAGTGATATCGGGATATAGATAATCAGGAGTGACCAAGAATTATAATGTCGTAAGCGAATTCATTGTACCACATAGTTATTCCGATACAGCGATTGAATAGTGTCGCGTCGCAAAACACATTTCGGCACACTCCAGTTTTGTTGAATAGAAATATCGGCGGCGAACGAGAGATTTTGACATTTGATAAATAAGTCTACATGTGTCATAGTAAATTAATAAATAATCGTTGCGCCAGCTAAATGGGCACGGATGAATTAATACACATCTCACAATGTTGCTAGATTCAGAAGAAAGCTTGTAATAACTCGGGATCGATTGCCAATAAATTTCCAAATATCAATGCGTGTCAACTTGAAGTTAGTAAAAGATTGGCATATGGTAAAAGTGTGTCATTTTCACATTTAATTAAGTGATACTGGCCTATTACTTCTCAGTATATATTTAGTTTGCACACGCATTCTTCTTTCGAGCAATGTGGGAACATTGGTTATTTCAAGAAGAATACAATATAGATATAGCTATTTTGAATATTTAGATTAAATCTTAAAAGATTATCTCTTGTCTAATCTGTAATTCTTCATGTTCATAAAATAACTCATAGAATATTCATAGACAGTATACGAAATCAAATATTCTCCTTCTCCTAATATCATAATTTTTTAATCACTACGTTGAAAAAAATAATCATGGAAAATAACTCGTCACAGATATGTCACCAATATCCGATTGCGACACAACGTTTCATTCATAGGATTTCATAAAACCTCTTTCAATATCATCTGGACCTCTCTTAATTCGGACGGATTTTTTTCGTCAAGGTTAACTAAAATTAACCTAAGAATCATTTTTGAGATCGAAAACATGAGAATCATTTTCTATAAATCAAACACGTGATAAAAATTACACGTTAGAGGATTAATTGGAAACTTGGGCCGGAGTTCAAAGATAAAAAATAAAATATGCCATCGTTTAGTCAGAGACCTTAAGAAAATATCGATTCCAATTTTTCGAAGAAATCCATAAATAAAGATGAAGCGTCGATCGGCGACTTCGAATAATTTCTCATCTCTACAAATTCGAACCTAGAATTTATTAACGCATTTCTCTAACCGCAAAGGGTGACAGAGGGGAGAAAAGGAGAGAGGGAAACGAAGAAAGATCGACAATATACGAGAATGAAGTTAGCGTGTAAAAGGGACGCGGGAGAGGACCGTAAGATGAGGAATTCGTGTGCCGGCAGCTACGATCGTTGGGATTTACGAAAGGTGACTGCGAAATGTCATCGTATCGCGTTTCTCGATGCACGCGCATTTCATTCGCGCGCGTCGCGCCTCTGGCGCCAAACACACCTCGTGTCGGCGCCACGCCGCATCAAGTGCATTATTGTGCACACAATGCTTGAAAATGCCAAAGTTTAAGTGTCGATAGCGACAAGCAAGTAAATAGACCGATCGGCGGACCACGGAAACGGCCGGTTTCGTCTGGAACGTAACTTGAGTATAACGCCTTATCGATCGTCCTTCCGGCGAAGATACATGATATAGTTTACGATATTATGGTTATCTCGTATCTATGGAATTCTATACCCAGATGTGTGGCGGGCTTGGCAAAATGTATCGCGAATGACGCGATACAACAGTATAGTTAATGACGCAAATGACCAAAACGTACCGTTTTTCAGACACGACGTTACGTCACACCTTCTATGAATATCATAAAGTTGTGTTGTACAAAGTAAAAAATAAATTAAAAATAAATTAAAAAAAAATACTCAGCAATGATATATAAGATAGATGAAAAACGAGCGAGCGTAGACGACTGTTGGCTTATTTGGTGGGTAATTTGTGGCTTTCCATCAGCACCTGTGAGAAGGCGGCAGTCGCTAAATCACAGCGGGGTGCGAACGTGTAGAACGTCGTTGCACATCACGGAGTTTGCCGTGGCTTTCATAAATGTCGGCGCAGCACCGAGGAATCTATTAGGGATGCACGCGGATGCGCCGTGGAATTTAATCCTTAAACACTCGCGATTCACGCGTTATCTTCGCGGCTAGGCGAAAGGCACGTTTGGGAATTGATAGCGTCCTCCTTTATTTCGCAAAGTGTTTAACGGGATTTTATGTTCCTGTGCACAGCTCTATGATGAAATCGTCGACGATTTTGCAAATACACATGCGTCTCCACTTTGACATTAGAGTAACGCGAATGTTGGCTCAATGTTAATGCCATCAGAATAATAATATTTTTACGATTTTTTTAGTTTTACGTGATTGAGATATGAAATTCCGTTATGAAACAAATAATGATAAAATCTGCAGAAAAAGTTATAGGTCACTATTTTAAAAGTCAAATTCCAATGGAATATTAAAATAAAATTGCCAGATTGTGATAAGGAAGATATTAGACTTCGTATAGAATGTTAAAGCAAGCAGCAGTTTAGGCGCAGGGAAATCTTGATTTCCTTCAAGATTCTGCGGTCATATATAATAGATTCGCGCTCCTAACTTATCTGTGTATGCAGCATGCTCCTCGTGACACCGCGTGGACACACCGTGATGCAGCACCGTTATCGTCAGGTGTAACGCGCCTTTAAAGTACGCTCACGTAGGTAAACGCGCTTATGAACGCGCTTTCATAGGGAACGAGCGTGCGCGCGATATCCGTAGGGCAGCAACTTCTTAATATTCCGTCCCTTTCGTGCCGCGGACAATGGAATAATAAGAAGCCGACGAGACTCTTGGAACTCTTTCTCGGCGAATATAAGCGCGAACGGTGAAGTGAAGTCACGTCCGATGAAAAATAAAGTGACGCAAAACCAGGAAAACATGCTCCGTACGAGCGATGTTCGAGCGATGTCTCTGTTAGGTCTCTCTCACGCAAGTTAAATCTTTAAAGACACTTGAGGGACATTAAAATGTGCTCTTCCGCCGATTGTGCCACGGCATAGCAACAGACGTGAGGTGAGGTGGGTGAATAGAATTAAAGTCTGAACCGGATTAAATAGAAAAAAAAAAAAAGAATATATTCAAACGTCCTTATGAGCCATCCGGCGACTTAATTCCAACTGATTCGACTTGCTTTATCCTT